TAAAAATTCTCTCTCTCTCTCTCTCTCTCTGAAAATTCATACCAAAAAATGAATTCACTTTTTATTATACAATACAAAGACTAATAAAAATATTGCAATAATAATCATAACAATGATATTGTTTAGTATATTGTAATGACTTTAAAAATGATCAACATAATTTTAATGTCAAAAAATATATCATCTTTACGCAACATTAAATGCGTGCAATACTTACATGTTTAGGCAATACATGTTTTATTATGGTTATTATTATTATTATTATTGTCATATGTATTGTTATTATGCATTCAGAATGATCATGTGTGCACACTAGAAAATATTAATATATTTAAATACCTGTACACACTATTGGCGATACACTATTGGCCATATGTTCCGGTGATTAGTATTATGGTAAATATTATCGGTTATTTGCCATGTTTTAATATTAATACAGGCGTATGTATAATGTATAATGTAATACTTTATATTAATAATTTATTATATGCTACATGATTTAAATAGTGTATAACGAGGTTATCGATAGGCAATAGGTATTTATTTTATTTGGTACCCTTACAGTGCACTCTCAATACACTGTACTTTATTCACACATTGCTTACAGTGTATGGCCTTAAGTGTACTGCAAAAGGATTATTACATTCGTGTAATTTCTCGACAAACCGGAGTTTACATCTAGAGTGTTTGTAAAATTTTACTTATGATAATTCACTCTCACTGTAATAGTATTACCGGTATTTTCCACATTTGAAAAGTACTCAAATACTCCTCTCTCTCTCTCTCTCTCTCTCTCTCTCTCGCTAACAGCTCTCGCGATTGCCATTCGTTAGCATAAGGTTTGTCGTCATTATTACATAGATTGTTATATTTTGCTGTATCTATACATGTATGTAATATTCTGGTTCTGTAATAATGTATGGTCGTTTTTTGTCACAATACAGTGCAGTGAATATTAGTATGTAGTATATACTGGTATATTATAGATTTATACAATACAGTATATATACGCGTATATATGCGCTACCCATTGAGGGCCGGTATATATCTGTGTATAGATTGTATATAAAATGAAATGTTTGAAAGATTTTTCAAATTCATTATTCAATATATATTTTTTGACTATAAATGTATGTGTTTTTGAAAAGTGAAACACATTTCCAGTGAAAACTGATGTTTAAATATATAATAATTAAATAATAGTTATATTGTTTGCGAAACTGAAAGTATTTCTATTCATTATGAAATGTTTTGATTGAAATGAATGTACGAATTAATTAGTGATTTAAATTGTTTTAATTATAATTAAAGTAATTGTTATAAATTGTTTAATAAATATTTTCCATATAAATAATTACATAAAATTTTACATAGTGTATAAATTAATATTATAATAATACTGTTGTTCACTGTATGCGATAGTAGATTATACCGTAATATTACGCTATAATCATAACGAACTCAATAAAGTGTGTAAAATATGTGTAAAATTATTTAAATTGTGCTGAAAATTAACAACAAAAACAGTTTTACATAAATATTAAAATTTGTGCAAAACTTTTAACTAATAAACACTAATTACTTATATTAACCTCCAATTAGAGGTATAATTAGTGGAAACGCAAAAATTATATGTGTTTTTGAACACAACAAAAAAGTTTTCAATAATTTTTCTCATAATATATAACTAAAAGTTAAAAAATTTGATTGAAATGCGTGTAAACAACAAAAAATTAATATTTTAATAATAATTAATACTAATTATTACCCAAATTGAATTGACTTAAGTCACTTAACA